ACCGCTCTCTGGTTGGTCCAAACTCTCGTGGCTCATTCCGTTCTCATTGAAGGAGAAAGTAAGATAAACATACTCCAAATTTCGAGACTGTAAGACAGTAACATGCGGTTCATAGTTTTGTAAAAATGAAAATTTTTGCATGTCTGATGCTACGAAGGTGATTCTTTTCACATACAAATGATGTGGATTTAATAGCAAATTGTTCAGCAATTTTTGGTTTCCTTAAAAAATTTTTAGAATTTTATAGAAATTTATAAAAATTTGTAAATATAAATTACATTTACATTTATATATTATTAACAGTTATCATAACATTATTATTAATTATTATTGTAACAATTTTTACAAATTCTTTACAAGATCTCGTATAAAATTATAATTCCCATTGAAATAAAATTTTTCTAATGAATTGTGCAGAATCTTTTATGTCAAAAAATTTACGTTATATCTTATGGTTTGATTCATGCTGCGATTGTACGACCATAGTCTGCCATTAAAAGAGTAACAATAAATTTGTTTAATCCCTAGTGACGATGTAAAATTCATTTAGGGCCGGTTGTTCCACCTTTTGGTAAATTTTTCCTGTTAGGTATTATAAATCTGGCAATCGCGTATGTGATTGGGTAATCTTGCTACTTACCCAACAGATAAAATCTATCAAAAGGTGGAACAACCGGGCCTTAATCGTGCAACTAAATTTATCACCTCGCAGCGTTATACCTTTTGGACTACCATCGAGGATGTCTCGGATTTTTTATCGTGACTTCTCTCGGAGTTTGTGTTCCTTGAATATACGAAAAATCAAAAATCTGCGCGGATCTCATAAAGAAAAATATTACATTTACTTCGGTAACGCCGGCCGACTTTCAACTTCGGTATCACTTGTTGCTCTATTTGCTACTTCTTGTGTAAAGAGGATTACTGACGTGCTGCGTACTATACGGCATGTCCCAAAACTGGGTGTCTCTCAAGACTTCTTTTTCTTGACGTTCTCTATTGTTATTACTTATCTTTTCAATGTTATATATCTTCGAATAAAGATTCTATAAAACTTTACGCGAGATTAATTGAACTATATGAGATTGTTATATTTCTCCTCCAGTGAAATTCAATTCATTAAAAGTCATTTATTAATGTTGGAATTGTTTAGAAATTAGAAATATCGTATTTCTGCTTTTTGAATCTTAAATCGCACTTAAAGAATTTTTAGAGCTCTTTCTATTAACGAGAAAGACGTCCGATAATTTTAAAACGTTCTCCACAAATCGATAATAATGGAACCGCTAGATTACGAGTCAGTCATAGAGCGATTAAAGATATCGGAACAGAGAAAGAAATCGGAATTCGAAATCATTTCCATGTCCGTTTCGGCCAACCAGAAAAAATAGCGCGCATTTTTTCTCTAGATAGCCATCTTGATGATTATGTCTCCTGTACCCTCTATCACCCCTGACGCTTCTTAAGTGGTTTAAAACAGTCGGCGAATTTGTTGTAGCGCATGCATCTTAGCTAGACCACCTCTGGCGCACTCTAACCGGCAAGTAAGAGTATATCTCGACGTATTTAATTGACACTTCCTACTCCCTTACCGTTTATTTCCTTAATTCCCGCGTTGAAATGACGCGGTTAACACTTGCTCATTTCAACCTTCCATAAAATTGATATCGATTAAGAGAAAAAAAAACCCTTTTTTGAGAAACGATATAGCTGCAAACAGGTCTTGCCATTATTTAATTTTAAATAATATTCATTAAAATCTTGCAAGATATTATTGATAACAGAAAAAGAATTAACAAAAGTCATAACACACAGTGCGTTAATATTTAAATTGACATAGACTACGTTTACACGGTTCGATTTACGCCGAAGTAACATCGATGTTATAAAATTGGCCAATCACAGTCATTCGATTCTTCAGAGGAATAGCTATGATTGGCAGTTTCATAACATCGATGTTATAACTTCGGTGTAAATCGAGCCGTATATAAACGTAGTCATACATATGATTGTTTCTATATGATCGCAAAAATGGATTAAATCCTATAATTACGTAATCGCCAAGAATAAAACGCTAATAAAACTTCAATGGAAAATAAATCGGGCCGGAAAATGAATGTAATAATAAGCACAGAATTGAAATTTTAGAAAAGTGAGTGAATGTTGATAAACCTACTTTCGTTAGAAAAATAACATAATACGATTACATAATACTATTACTTTTAATTTTGTACATTTGATATAAGCATGTAGAAAAATACAGTAATAATTTGTTTTTATGCCAGCAGCTATATGCGTTCCTCGTATTGTTCTCTGTCCTAGTTTTCGTACCTTTTGTCTCTTCCCTTTCCTCTATTTTTCCCCCTAAACGCGTATCCAATTTCCTCCCTTCACGAGTACAGATAATACGTATCCATAGCCGGACAACATAGCGCGTACAGTTTTGCTACTTTATATCGAAGTAGATGAGTGTTCTACTAGCTTTTGGAGGCGCGTAGGCGTATTTTTCGTCGTGTAAAAACAAAATTACACCTTATCCCATCCCGGAGAAAAATCACCGATCCTACCTACGCTCGATCAAAAAAAAGCGTCTTTATCGATGAGCACCTTTCTCTTCCTCATGTTTGATGATTTAATTTACTTGGTCTCGGTGTAAATTTCTTGAAAATTTGTTTACTTCTCGCACGGATGCTTATTATTTTTTACGTCCAATGTAATAAAGTATTTATCGTATTTCTGAGAGGCCTGTGAAGCAAAAACTTTTTCTTTTTCATGCGGTAAGAACAGCCGTTTACGCTGGAAAGTACAATAATCTAATCTTTATAACGGCGAGATCGAAAAGAACAACGGATATAAATGATTCATATCCGACGAGAGGATGATGAATCCGCCCATCGGTAAAACGCGTTTCGCCGATACGAGCGTGTCGGCTCCATCATAGCACGGAGAAAGAATTTCTAAGTCCTGAGTATCGTTTTATGAAACGCAGAGAGAATCCGAATCGTTTTCCAAAAATGCAAAAGAAAACTAATTTATATCGCGAAGTGGCTGCGTTTCTTTCCGCCTATCGCCCTTCACGCGGGTACTCGGTGTCTTCCGGTAACCAATATCAGACACGATATATATCAGAGGACGTAACGTATGTATATATATCGTCTTGCCTTTGAAAAAGAGTGATCTCACGCGTACATCGTGACGCGATCTTGTCAATCTTGTTAATCGTAAGTAGAGCAACTAGCGAAGAAAGAAAGAGAGGGAACGAGAGTAATTAGCCGAACCGGGGTACTCTAAATAGATCGTGTAGCGAATTTTTTACACACCCGTGTCGGTGACGCGATGATACGCGCCTACTCTTTGTCACTTTTTCCCCTCCCCGTATGAGAGGGGAGGTTTACGGACACACGAGAGCTAAGAATATTCTCGCTAAATGTGATAGTAGAGTGAGAGAGTCTATCTTCCGGCAGACGTTGTAGAAGCAATAAAAAGCGAGCCGAAGGCAGCGAGCCGAGGATTAAAGCGTAACTAAAGCGACTGCTTTACCCGTACGCTCATCCCTCACCAACCCCGGCTCACTTCTTCATCCCCGAAGGAAAACAAAGAAATGAAAAAAAAGGATCCTTTATTCGCCGAAAAGGTGCGTTCGAAAAATCGATAAGGCGACTATTACTCCCCCATGATTACGATCCCCTCCACTTCCTCGTATGATTTTTCGGTGGTGTACCCGGAGAAATAAACGAAAGTATATACACCACCCCTTCCCTCTTTCGAAACCTCCCGCGCTCAACGGTCCTTTTCAATTGCTTTCTCCGTGCGATCAACCTCAGAGCCCCCACCCTCCGAAACCCATTCCTAACGATTGTAACGATCGATTCGACATAACCCGAGTGCCTTAATCCGATCTCTATACCCATCTTGCTCTCCACGTGTAACGAAAGAAAAGAAATGGAAGGGAAAGCCTGGGACTCCCGCGATTTAGACGCATATTAATTTCTATAGGCAGTAGAATTGAGTGTCGATTGCTAGAGAGAACGTGAGAACACAAGGCTGGCGAACCGAGGCGGCTGTTCCGAGGGACGATGCACACGGCGAAACCAGGTAAGATTTTTTTATTTCTTTCCTCCTCTTCCTTTTTTTTCTTCAGTTTTTTTCTTACTTCGATATTACCTTTGTAGAGCTACATCGAGCTGGTGTTTTTCAATCGGAATGTTTTTCCCGTGGTCTACAATTGGAATCGAGATTACTTTCGAATAGCCTTTAAGAGCCCGCATTTTAAAGATATAGATTTTAACCCCCTAATAGTATCCAGTGAACTCTGACATTTTTCTTCAACTACGTTGTGAAAAATTGTTTATAACAAATATCTTTTTCACAATCTTATACAATCTTATTCCTTGTGTTTTGACCTTAAAAAAAAATCATTCAATTATGTTAACTTTAAAGATACATTAATTTAAACTACACTGCATTCGCGAATAGCAATTAAGGAAATTTCGGAGTAAATACCGATGAGGGTAAAAACGAGAGAAGATTTTTGAGAAAAATAAATTTCCTTTCCATAACAAAATGAGCGGCAACTCGCAGATTCAGTTTAACGCTTTGCATCCCGAAACGTACGACGAATTACGATCCATCTGCTTCGGCGAAGAGTTTCCGAACAGTTTGGGAATAGTTTGAAAAACACCGTGCTCGAACATTACGGAATTAATGTGTTTGGAGTACTGAAAGCATCGCATCCGTCAGAAACGCGACAGACGTCGCCCAGGGCATTTTACGCTCCCAGTTTCATAGGTATAGATTAACCTTTAGTATTACCAATTTGCTGAAAGCACTTTACATCGGCATAATTACCTGACACAATCATACACGAACATATATATTGTCTCGAACATATCCAAAATATACGAAAATATATCTGTATATTTATCGTTTTGTAAAGGTAAAATAGAGAATTGCAATTTTGTTATATAGTATACAGTAATGATGCGATATATCTAGCACTTAGCGCTTCGATGTGAGACGAATAGTGTCGTATTCTCGAAAGTTGTAGGGACGGATGCGATGCACGCGGGCCTCTTACATAGCGAGCATTGGTGTTATCGAATAACAATATCGTTTCCAGTGTACCTTACTCCTCGCTGTTAACACTGAAGAAAAGACGTATCACGTATTGTATAGTAAATGTCGCTCGTAGTACTAGCGATAGAGAATCATCGATGGTGTAGGCGTAGTTATGTGCATAATTGCGATTTTTGGAGTAATCTTGAGCAGAGTCGGTTTCGAAAGTTGTCGGACTCGAACAGAAGCCGGGGAGTGATTCGGGAAACTGAATCGAACGTCACGAAGATTTTCATGGGAAATTTCCACATGAAAATTGCTTACCAAAGAATCTCATTGTGATAGATGCGCGGAGATCTCAAAGCAAAACGTTGAAGCGTGTCAATTTACAAAATATGATATGGTTCTGACTTCTTCGATTCCGATTCTGGGCATTACATTATTGACTGAAACTCAGCGTGCAGACGATCGCGTTTCGATTGTGGCTTCGAAAAGAGGGAGATGTATCGGGGAACGCTTGAAAAATGTAATTCAATTTCAAAATCTCGCGCTGTAGCATTCTCGGTAGTTGCCTTTATGTGATTCAGTAGAAAAAAAAGACGGCATTAAATGTCAATCAAAATGGTACGTTTACAACTCCTTTTTTGCACTATTTATTGCACCTCGATGTAGGACTCGCCGAGGTGTCTGACAATTTTGTGATTCATATGACGATGTCGATGGAAACGTATCGTTGCCACGGCGTGTCTACTATTATAAAATATACCAATATCGGGGCTAACTCGTTGACGGGAAAATGCCTGTATCGAGGCTGCACAACGAGGATGCGCCCGTGCATGTGTAACGATTTGTACATACTAACATATTTCTGAGCGGCTGTCTCGCGCTCGCGAGAGATTCTCAATGGAAATGATCAACATCATACCTTGTCCTTGCTGCGTCAAAGTCTGATCGGGAAAATATTCCCCGGGAAAAAAACGTTTTTGCACGAGGAAAAAAACAATTTTGCTAAAGTAAGCTAAACACAGATAGACACAAAATTATTATTATTATTATTATTGGACCATCAAAAAATTATTATATTAGACTCAAACGTGATGATAACGTTGCTAGAAATTTAGAACATTCTAACAATCTGAGCATTCACAATATAATTATTTAGGTGGCTCAATAAAATTGCTTTCAGATTTATATCTAACTAAATTTTTAGATATTTTCGCTTTTCCCATGTAAAAATACAATTGATCTAGATCAGTTATTTGTATTCGTCGTTGCTTTAATTTCTATCAATATTATCATCACGCAATAATTTCATCACGCAAGATTATAGCTACGTTATTTCGAGTACTTCGTTGTCAAATGTTAATAACAAGAATAATTGTGTAATAACGAATAATTTATAGAAATCTGTACGTATCAGAAGTCCAAATATTCCAATGTGTCATAATTAATCTTATCGTGACGCGAGACAACCGTGTCATAAGAGGCAGTGAGGCCTTACGTAATCGCATGTGTGATTTAAATAAATATATTATCATTGAATATCTGTAATGATTCGTCGTTATTGCTGTCATCCAACACCACTGTGTCATCAAATCATCTTCATTATTATTCTCATCATCATCATCATCATTACTATCACATTTACTAGCAAGTGAGATTGTTAAAAAAAATCTAATTTTAAAGTCTCGCGTGAAAAACGTGGTGCACTCACACATCGATTTTTACATGGGTGATATGTGTATCAGACGTAATTCAATTTGAAAAAAAAAATAACATTCGCTCTCTTCCAAGGGGATAATTTTAATTGAACTCTCGTATCGAATAATGTAACATAGTATATTATATCCTCGACCAGTCACATTTGATCGCGTAACGTTTATGTGCTTTCTGCTCAACGTGTAACTAAAAAATTTGTCGAAAAAATTGAAAATCTTCGTACACGATATTAATAACGTGTTAATATTAATGGTACTAAACAAGATCCGTGGTTGAAGCTCGCGAAAAATATATTATCGAGCATGACGGTAATCTTCAAATCCCGCTGTTAACGAGTCACCCTGTAAGAACGATGCGCGAATCAAGAATTTTGTTTTGCGTTTTATTCCGACGAGATATACACGAAAACGTTTCGGCTAGGAGGCCGCGAGACTGACGAAGACGTGTTGTCGCAGACACGACAATAAAGAAAGCAAAAAAAAAAGAGGAAGAGCAAACCAGAAACGATTGTGCATTGTATAAACACGACAGCGTGCACCATGACTGCTCTTTTACTTTTCGAGTGACTTTTTCGAAATGGGACCCACGCGTTTTTCATAGCGCTTTTTTAAAGCCGAACACGCGCGTCGTGGCGGCGTCTTGTTCTTCCAATACGTATATATTATATCTACACACATATACGGATACACGAACATTGACACATATACATTACGTACATTAAATTATATTATTGTATGATTAATAACGGCGAAAAGGACGAGCGTGCGCTAGAACGTAGACATAGATTTCACGAAGGGATGATTCAGTTTCTCGATTTTTCATACAGGATGAGAAAATGTCACGGAATCATTTTGTTACGCGACGCTTTGCCAACGAGTTGACATTGTGACGCTTTGTTCTTTTCATACAATTATCTCGATGACAACAAGCATACTCCATGTATTAACGAATTAATAATAAGATTCAAAGATATTTCAGAAGTGTGCAATATTTTATTTATCGTTCTTTGAAAAATATGTTGTGTATATTTGAATATTCTTTAACAAAATTGTATTTCGAAATTATTTATTTCCTGAGAAATGTGATCTTTATTTAAAGCAATCCATTTCAAAATAGCTTATAACATTCTGTTATGCAAGATATGTCTTAATAATATAAATCAAGATAATTGTCGATTAAACCGGCATAAATTTATGACATGACAATATAATGGCAAGTATCCATGAATATTTATATCACGAGTATCATTGAATATTTACAACTTGGCATTTTGCATATCGATACATATCGGAAAATAAGCGTATTGTAGATTTCGAAGTGAAATATGTACATTTTAATTAACGGGATAAAACAGTGGTCACGCATGTCACTTAATTGACGAAGCGTCGTGCGCAGTTTTAATAATGCTGCAACACACGGTAATTTTCATTAAAACTACGATTTTTGGAATATATTCATTTGTCTACTCAATCTGAGTAAGACACAACGTGATATATTTTACAAGAGTATTCTATTAGTTTTTTTTCTCAACACAATAAATATTCAACTTCAATTCCGAAGTTGATTTACGGTTTTGAAAACACAGCAGTTCTGAAAACAAGCGATAAATTCCAAAGAATAATTTTCTGGTGTGTAACTCACGAGTAATTATCTTTCGTGAAAGCTTTTATAAAGTCAACAAAAATGAAATTAAAGAAGAGTTTCTTGCACTCTGAAAAATTATATGTATGATATAATAAATAATGTCCTTTGTTATTATTTTAGTAAACGTTTAGTTTGTTATTATTTTACTAAATATAATTACAATTTAGGTGACCATAAACTGCATTAACATCTCGCGCACGGGAGCAAATTTCAATAAATATTTCTTAAACCTGTTATAATTTATGCGTCAATTGTCGACATCAATTGTCACAATTATCGATGCATCGTATTTATTAATAAAAAATAAAAAAAATTTTATGCTTGAGATATCAGTTCATAACCACTTAAATTATAACTATATTTTTTATATATTTTTTATATATTACAGACTAATTTTTACATTGAAATTAACACAGTCATTTCGGTATTTCTGTAAATTCCATAAAATAGATTTTTTCTTTCACGATTTCTTTATCTTGTAATCATAAATTCCATATCGTGAGTTACGTATGAAATATTTGATTAAATTTTATATAATGATGTTAACGTTTATATCAAATCAAATGACGTATCAGTGCGACTCATCGCACGACAATATTCGGAAATCAAAAAATGGGGTCTTCCAAGAAAAAAATAAAAGAATACTCGTGTGTATTCTTCCGCACGACAAGAACGACTTTACATTGATTCTATCGCACCGCCTTATAACTTCCACATGTTGAAATTCGTGATGAGCATGATAGAGAAGCATTATTCTTTTATATAGTTCACACTGTAAATACTCTTTTTCTCTATGAGATGATGTAAATATTTTCCTCTTGAGATATTAAACGATATTTAT